CAGAAGAAACTGAATATTTTCTGATGTGGGATGTATTTTATCAATGGCTAGAAAATAGAAACAGGTTAGGAAGGAGATTTAAGAAGCGAAAATGTTACTCTGGAGAGAAGTTTATGATGTATAATGTATTATTGTGATTATTTTGATATATAATTATAGTATCAATGTTATTGTAATGAATATAACAACAGATATGTGGACTATGAACTTTCAAATAATTGTACGCAATTCACACTGTTTGGTGGAGATGAAAAGTACTATAAAACATTTAAAAATGATAAAAAAGGGAATTTTTATCATTTATGGGCGACATGTGATAAAGCAAAGCAATATTGGAGGAGGATTCATATTTTAATACAGAAAATTCTTAACATGAATATAGAAAGCGATGTGAAAGAATGTAGTAAGCCATTGAACGAAGCAGTTGGATACAATTAGAATAGGAATAGGAGCTGGAAGGGACCTTGGAGGTCCTAGTCCAGCTCCCTGCTCAAGCAGGGGAACCTACACCATATCAAACAAGTGACTATCCAGTCCCTTCTTTAAAACCTCCAGTGATGGAGCATCCATGATTTCTGAAGATAAACTGTTCCACTAGTTAATTGTCCTCACTGTCAGGAAGTTTCTCCTTAATTCCAGGTTGATTTTCTCTTTGATTCATTTCCAACCAGTATTTCTTGTCCTGCCCTCTGATGCTTTGGAGAATAATTTGTTGTAATGATTAGTTGCTGAGGAAGCAAGCAGTGATAGTTCTCTGCAATGGCAAACAGAATGAGACATGGAGTGATTGGTTGTTTTCAGTTTACTTCAGTTGCTCATCTGTTGGGAGAAGTAGCTTGAAGTGGGTTATTTTTCCTGTGGTTGTAGTACCATCTACTGGTCAGAGCAGACAAGTTCTTGGGACTTCCTCATCTGCCTCAGAAGCAAGGGACCATTTATTTTCAATGTGAAAAAAACAAAAATGCCGGCTTTAAGAATGAACTGCTTCAGCCTTCAAGAAGGGAGTTAAGGTGAAGGCTTTTAAGAATTCTCCAATCTTGTTGACCTACTTTACCATTGCGTTTTGTTAGTTAGCACTTTTTAAAAATAGAAATGAAAAAATTGGGATAAAAGATCCCCACTGGGTGATAGCAGTGGTTATGATTTATTTTACACAATTTTATTTTCTAAAAACGTTTCTAGGAAGCCTCTTGCCCCTTTCAGATCCTGTGGTTGCTTATAAGAGCCAAGGTGGCGCAGTGGTTAAATGCAGCACTGCAGGCTACTGCTAGATCAGCAGGTCAGCGGTTCAAATCTCACCGGCTCAGG